TTGATGACTGACTGACTGACTGACTGACTTGCTGCAGATTACTTCTTTCTGCTCTCTCTATTATTCCCCATGAGGGAGTTGAGTGAGGCTTGCTAGCAGCGGACTGACTGTGCTGAGATGAGAGCTATATATTGTGTTCAGGCGTACTGTACAAAAGCTGACAGCACCTGGATAATATCCTGTCGATTGTTGAAGAAAAGAATTGGTTATGTTTGATTTGATTAGCAGGTCTTGCAATGACATTGCTATTCGTATGTGCAGAACATGTCAGTACTATTGAGAGAAAGAAAGAGCAGAAAGATAAGGTGTGTGTCCTCATCCTATTACGTCTCACAACCGATAGCGAAACCCTACCGTCTTCCAATCCGTCACATCGTCATAATCCTCCGGTAGCAGTCGCACCGTCCTCACGGCCTCGCTGATGTCGCTGTCCTTCAAGTCCGCTACCTTGCCTCCGGCCACCGCACCCGACACCCCAGCGCTGCCCTGCACGCCTTCTTCACGATCCCGCTTCTTATTCACCGCCTGGAGATAGACTCGCAGCGACAGCGCAAGCGCAGCAGTCAGCACATAGCAGACCAGAATCGCGCGGAAGGCGGTGTTGTAGTGCGGCGCCTCGGCCGCGATGAAGAACTGCGGTCCCGCAATGTTGCCCGCGCAGTACGCAATGAACATCAGCGCCGTCATGGTCATCTTCTTGGTTACGCCCCGGTAGTTCGCCTGCACCAGCGACATGGCCAGCGGGATCGCGCTGGGTCCCGGCGACAGCAGGAAATACCCCAGCAGCTGCACGCCCTTGGAGACGTGGGCGCGCGCATAGATCAGCGAGCTCCCTGCCACGGCGCATAGCACCACGCCCACGATCAGGATGCAGTTCAGCTGGCGGAAGCGGCCGGCCATCCAACCCGTTGCGGCGATGGTGGCCGTGCTGATCACGCTCGAGGGGATGTTGATGAGCGTCGACTGCAGCGACGTGAAACCAAAGGACTTGATCACCAGGTTGCTGAAGTTCTGCGTCCCGCCGTTGGGGATCTGCGTCAGGATGGCGATGGCGAAGAGATGCCACGTCTTGGGGTCCAGCAGGCATTCTCTCGTCTGGTCCCACCGCCACGCCGTGTTCTCTGTGCGGCCAGTGCCGGCGATGACGACCCGGTCTGCCGCGAACTGGCGCTCTTCCGGCGTCAGGAAGCGCGCGCGCGCGATGCTGTCCGGCAGCAGCGCCCACAGGACAAACCCCCCAGAGGAAAGTGGCGCTGCCGAGGATGATGTACATCCACATCCAGGGCCTGAGGGGCGAGTCGATATGGCCGATTCCGTAGGCCAGCAGGCTGGCGAGCAGCCCGCCGACGGAGTTGCCTGAGAACCAGATGCCCGTGCGGACGGGGATCTCGTCGCGCGTGTACCAGGTCGAGGTGAGGAACATGAAGGCGGGCGTGATGGTGGCCTCAGCGACGCCGAGGAGGAAGCGCACGGCCAGCAGGCCGCCGTAGCTGGAGCAGGCGGCGGTGAGGGCGACGACGGCGCCCCAGACGAAGGTGTTGGCAGTGAGGTATTTGGCGGGCGGCAGACGGGCAATCAGCACGGAGGTCGGATACTCCCAGAAGAAGTAGCCGAAGTAGAAGATGCTGGACACCCAGCTGTACTGCTGGCCGTGGAGGTGCTGGAGGCATTGTTAGCAGAAAGAAATGTGTATACTCACTCCAGCAAACTGACAACTGACATTATCTTCCAGCAACCCAAAGACAGACGCACTGGACAGGATCGTCTTGTCCATGAAGTTGAACGCGTACGTCACAAACAGCAGGGGAATCAGCTGCCGGTCGATCTTGCGCAGAACGCGGCGGGCCACGTCGTTATCCGGGGGAGACATGGCTGCAGTCGCTAGCTGAAGGAAAGTGGTTGCGAATCCACTCGGCGGGTTGATATAGCAGATATATACTATCCATCGCCGCCATTGTGCGGGCGAAGACCGCTGCTACTGCTAGCTGCATGGCTTATCGGATGAGATAGCGGGCTTGCAACCGATAATGATCATAATTATTAGCGCGGAGAAAGCTGCGTCTCTAGTCGAGATACGAGATAAGATAGATGGCCGCCAAGAGACGAGCTAAAGCAATGCACTAGGCGATGCACTTACAGGAAACTTAACAGCATAGAGACAAATAGTATAGACATTCCTGTAAGATAAAAAAAAATAAGACTAGAGAGACTAGAGAACAGGAATATCTACATGATCTGTCTGCTTTCAGGTACGGTCATTCCCACTTCATTAACCCCCACACACCCCATACGGAGTATTTCCTGCAAAACCATATGCGAAGCATATTAAAAAAAAAAGAAAGGTCGATTTTCTTAACATGAATTGACTACATTAAATTCTTCCATAAACCGATTTACTTTATGATTTTTAGGTAATATGCCATTTGAAGTTGAGCACATGAAATTTTCTTACTTCTTCTGGACGTAGTACAGAAATAACTTATGTAACACTGCAGGTGACAGTATCACAATGGATTCTGATAGATAGATATCTCCTGGAATATTAATACTCACCTTCATTCATCCCCGCCATATTATCGCATTTATCGACATGATACATGTTTTGATGACGTCACGGATGTCTCCTGACTTGTATTGTAGAATTCCTCCGTAAACAGTCTCGTAAACAACGATGCAGTTTTCAGGCTGGATATCAGATTTGTCGTCTCATCGTATTTTGTTTTGAGACGGAGGAATCCATGTATCCGATTGAGTTAGGAGGATGACGATCGGATGTGTTATCTCCGACGGAGATGACAGACACAAACAACAGGCTTGGTTTTGTTTTGTCAGCAACCAGCTTTAACTAACTAGTTATATCATAACCCCGCAATGTAATTATTAATTGCATTTGCTGGACCTCAACATCGGCAGACCAGACCAGACCACACGCCGGGGGTGTCATCTTCTCTGCCTATATATATATAAATACCCATGTTCCCCCGCATCTTCCGTCCTAGTAATAATCTCAGCAATAGTACCTCCTCAGCGGCATCCCGACTCGCGCAGCTTACTAGCACAATCATCCCCCAGACTCACTCAATCAGACCGTTCGTATCGACCATGGCGTCTGCGTCTGCCTCACCAGATATCACTCTCTACAGCATGGCCACGCCCAATGGCGTCAAGGTCTCCATTCTTCTAGAGGAGCTAGGCCTGCCGTACAAGACGGTTCCGATCGACATTTCCACGAACCAGCAGAAGGAGGAGTAAGCCACACACACACACACACACACACACACACACACACAACAACACATATATAAT